GTGGGCGCGGAGCGCGGAGGCGGCCGCGCCAGCTGACGGGAGAGCCTGCGGCTGCTTTGCCTGCATCTGCCCAGCGTTCTCAGTAGGAAAGGCCTGGTGTAGGAGCACATGTCTCCTGCCCCACACCACGCAGAGCGCCACCGTGAGGCACCTGAGTGGCTGCCTGCAGGCTCCAGTACTCGGCGCTCCCTCAGGTGCTTCGGCAGCCTCACTCTGAAAAGCAGGTTTCAGTTACATGAATTTCGTAGCTGTCCAGGGCTAAAAGTGTCGGTCCAGTCGAGCCCTGGGGGTCCAGCCTGCATGCTCTTTAAGAGGGCATCCCTCTCCCAGATGTGGAGTGCTTGACCCCTCCTGGCCCGCAACCTTAGCTAGGGGCAAGCAGGCAGTTCCTGGAGGCGGGAGGGAAGCTGGAGCAGGAGCAGGTGGGAGCAGCCCCCGGGCCACAGTGGCCGGCCCCTCCCTGGGTCCACAGTGGTGCCCTCTTCCCCCGGGCCGCAGTCACCGCTGACCAACCTCTGGCTGCAAAGGGTTGCCCGTGTCCTTGTGTAGTGTCATGCCTGTCGTGTGAGGCTGCGCCGGACGCTCTGTGGAGGGTGCAGGCTTAAGGACAGTGATGGCTGCTTCCGAGAAACCAGGGGAGTGGCCGGAGGAGCAAAGCACAGAGTGACCAGGCCCTAAGGGACGGGCTGGCGGCCTGCAGGAGTCCTGCCCCCACGGGCGGCCGTGGTGTGGCTTGCGTACAGCTTAAGGCCCAGATGGTCACCTGCAGCCACGCCACGGCCCGTGTGACATGCTCCACCCCTGCTTGCCCTAGTGTCCGCACGACGAGATGTCTGAGTCCGGGCAGTCCTCAGCTGCAGCCACGCCCAGCACCACGGGCACCAAGTCTAACACGCCCACGTCCTCCGTGCCCTCGGCCGCAGTCACACCCCTCAACGAGAGCCTGCAGCCCCTGGGGGACTATGGCGTCAACACCAAGAACAGCAAGCGGGCTCGCGAGAAGCGCAACAGCCGCAACATGGAAGTCCAGGTCGCTCAGGAGATGCGCAACGTCAGCATAGGTGCGCCCTCCCGGCCGGCTCGGCACGTCGGCATGGCATGCCCCCCCCCGGGCACACTGGCTCTGGGGTGTGCTAGTCCAGCTCGGGCAGCAGGACTTCCTCCCCCTGTGTCTGGAGCCCGAGGGGTGTGGGTGGGCCGGTCACTGGCTGCAGACCCTGTCCTCCCTGTGTGTCCAGGCAGATGGGGTTAGAGTCCACCTTGAGGACCTTGTATACCTGGATCACCTCTTAGAAGGCCATCTCCAGATGCAGTCCCTTCGTGGGTTGGGATCCCAGCGATAACTGGGGACACCTCGAGCATGAAGGAGCAGACCACTGCTACGCACAGCCCCAGTTGAGCTAGACAGTGCAGGCAGAGAGGGGACACCTGTCCTGCTCACTGAGCATGGCTGCAGTCCACTGAGAGGCCACCATGCCACCCCCGGATCCCTGCAGTCCTGGGGTCCTCTACCCTCCTCCAGCCCTCTCTGCCAGACAGACAGGCAGTCTAGTGTGGGGCCTCTGGCTCGGGCGCAGAGGCCGGCAGAGCGGGGTGACCCCAGGGCCCACTGTGCCCCGCAGGCATGGGCAGCAGTGACGAGTGGTCTGATGTCCCAGACACCATTGACTCCACTCCAGAGTTGGACGTGTGTCCTGAGACGCACCTGGACCGCACAGGAAGCAGGTAGTCACTCGGCCCAGCCCTGGGCCCCGGGGGCGGGGCTCAGCGTTCACCAGAGTCGGCGGCGATGCTGAATGGGGAGAGCCGTGGTCCGGCAGACCCACCGCCCGCCCGCGCCTGCACGAGCCACGCAGTGTTGGCCGCAGCTGCAGGCGCCTGGTGCGCAGCAGTCGTGGCTCCACTGACCTCCGCCGTGCCCTGCCAGCCCCACCCAGGGCATCGTGAACAAGGCGTTCGGCATCAACACCGACTCTCTGTACCACGAGCTCTCCACGGCAGGGTCCGAGGCCATCGGGGATGTGGACGAAGGGGCTGACCTCCTAGGTAAGCCTGCGGCCTCACCTCAGCCCTGCGCCGTTCTGCCGTGGTTGTCTATGATGGAGGGAGGCCCGCGGCTGCTGTCTGTGCGAGTCTGTGTGGCTCTCCCCGAAGCACGCCATTCCTGGCTGCTGGCGTGCTCACTCGGTGGCCCAGCCATCACAGCAGAGGCCGCGAACACAGGCATGCACACGCGCTGCTCCTTCCAGCACTGCTGAGCCCTCACTGTGGTCCTCCTCCACCCCGGCAGCCTCTTAGGGCGTCCCGAGGGTCTCGGCTGGACAGGTCCTCTGCCCGGTGGGAGGGTGCACAGACAGCCTCCGCCACCTCAGTGTGCAGGTCTCCAGAAGTCATGCCTGGTCCTGCAGTGGCCGTGGCCACCCCGTCGGTGGGGAGCCTGCTGGTAGCCTGAGCCTGGCCACCTGGCTCTGAGCATGGCAGCCGGGAAGTAGGAGGTCCAGTCTCAGCTCCTTGCCGTTAGCTACCCCTCCGGGCCCTGGCATACCCAGGCTGCCTCTCATGCCTCCGTGCTCAGAGCCTCCGGGCCCTGGCATACCCAGGCTGCCTCATGCCCTCCGTGCTCAGAGCCTCCGGGGCCCTGGCATACCCAGGCTGCCTCTCAGCCCTCCGTGCTCAGAGCCTCCGGGGCCCTGCCATACCCAGGCTGACTCTCAGCCAAAAAACGGGCCCTGGCATGCCCAGGCTGCCTCTCAGCCCTCCGTGCTCAGAGCCTCCGGGGCCCTGGCATACCCAGGCTGCCTCTCATCCCTCCGTGCTCAGAGCCCCCAGGTGCACGTGAGGGGCAGGTGCTGGACGTGCACTGCCCTCGGTCCCCGCAGGACAGGCAGCTGCTCCAGCTTCGCCTGGCCAGCTCCGTCTGTACTATTGTGGCCGGCCCTTTACCGCCTCCTGCCCAGAGCAAAGCCGTCCTGCACCGAGTCTGGCCAGGCTCGCTGCCACCCCCAATGGCCGAGACAGCCGTGCCGTCAGGGGTGCGAGGTGTCTCCCCGAGACGGGTCAGCCGTCAGTGTGGACTGGCAGGGGTGAGGCCCTGGCCACAGCCACCGCCTTACTCCCCCTCTCTCAGACCCGCCTCGTGGTGTTGGCACAGGCGCCCCTCACCTGGGACGAGCACTCCGGGGACGCACTGAGCTGGGGCGGCACCAGTACTGCCTCCCCAGCTCAAAAGTACCGGGAGGGCAGTGCATGTGTGCACATGTACGTGCCTAAGTGCTAGTTGTGGGAAGGTTCCCACGCACAGCCCCTGCTCTGCCCCCACTGGTCGGCAGCGAAAAGCTTGCTTGCCTTGGAAGGCGGAGCCTGAGCCCGCTCCCTCTGCGGCCGGTAAAACACAAACACTGCTGGGACCAGCAGATGGCGTAATGGGTGCGTTGCTGGACCCCACAGAGCTGACCACAGTTCAAGTCCAGACCTGGTGGCTCAGAACGCACAGCAGGCTCACGTGCGTGACACCAAGACCGCAAGAGGAGAATGGAGGAGGGTTTGGCGAGTGCATGCCCCCCGCTAGACGAAGCCCTCTTTAGAAAGAAAAACACAAACACTATTGACACTCAGGAACGTTCTGGGGGTTACTGTTGCTGTTTCGACCCCACTCGTGTAGCTCAGGTCTTTGTGTGTTTAACTGGTAGTTTATTTTAGAGAGATGATGACAGCTGCTTATGACACTCAACTAGTATCAGAAAGTGCCAGGACAGCGAGGTCACAGGAGTCCTGTGCCACGGGGGCGTTCGCAGTGTCATGGCAACACCTCGCCCCGCAGCACACGCGGTGCGCACCCTCACAGGACCTGGGGGGTTGTGGATGATGGGGACATCTCCATGGGCAGTTACAGAAGCCGCTACACGCGTGCATTTCTCTCTTCACACGGCGCCAGGCGTGTGCCTTAAGTCAGGCCCCCGCTCCGGGTCCCAGCTTTTGCCGTCCCGAGCACGCGATCATGCAGCCGCACCTGGGTTGCCCTGCCGGCAGTCAGCGTAGGCGCCTAGAGGTCCAAGTGCCCCGGTCCAGCCATGGGCTCCAGGCGGCATGTGCTTCGCCCCCTGGCTGCGTCTCTGCACTTCGCTCGCACCAGCCCGGGAGCCCGGTCCTTGAAGGGAGCTGAGTGGACGAGGCTGGCCGTGGCCTCAAGGACCCACAGTCCACGTGATGAAGCACGTTTGCTGGGACAGACACGGCTCCGGGCAGCCTTTGAAGGAGGCAGGCCTTGCAGTGCCGGCTGTTGGGTGCGGATGAGACCTAGTCCAGGGAAGGGTCGGAGCAGGCAGAGGATTATCGGCATCTGCCAGACACGAGCCCTTCTCCTGGGAGGCGCCATGGGGCCCGGGGTGTTGCTGTGAGTGGCAGGCGACAGGCTGTAGGCCAGCCTCACAGTCACATACGGGTCGTGCCTGAGTGTTTGAGTGTCTGTGACAGGTTGGTCACCTTTCTAGGTAAGAAGATAGTCCTTTTACCAGAGCGCTCTGAGCCGAGGGCAGAGCCACAGCCGTTTCACTGAGTCTGTCCCAGCGACCCCACGTGTACTGCCATGCATGCCCCCTGCGGTCACACTGTCACCAAAGGCCGAGGCCAGGAGGGCGAGTGACCCAGCCCTGCCCGTGCAGGGCTCTCTGCACTCTGGCCTGGAACAGCTTTGAGAGTGTGCTCACCCTGAAAGGAGCCCCATTAGCAGCCCCACCTCCATCCCAGCGGCCAGCGTCTCTAGACTCGCCTGTTCGGGATGCTTCGGAACAATGTGCTGCCCTGCCCAGCCTGCCCATGTCGGCAGGGCCTCGCCCGTGACTGAGCAGCGCCCTCGCGCAGACAGATGTCCATCGGGCACTCACCTGGCCTTGCCAGGCCTGGGCCATGTGGGCTGTCCCTGCTGGCTCATGCAGCTCCGCCACCTTGCAGAGTACACCCTCCCCGTCTCTGCACCACCCGGCCGTCGTCCACGATGTTGGCCCAGCCCCTGTGCCCCACTGCGGCAGCCTGGCCGGAAGCTGGCCTTTGGCACGTGGCCGTGCCCTCATCCCCCTCAGGGAGCCTTATCGTGGTCACCACTGCCTCCGCTGTACACAGTGACGTGCGGGGTGACGGCTGGGGGCTGAGGCCGCGTCACCGCATGTGCGGATCGGTCACTGCCTCTGTGCCGGGCGGAGCCGACCCCTGGCAGGGAGCTGTCCGACCAGTCTCCCAGGGTCAGTCCCCGGGCTTCCCCGAGAACCTCCTCGGGGTGTCTGAAGAGCTGGGACCCGACCCTTTTCTGGTATTGCAGCAAAGGCCGTGACTCGTCACCGTGCCGCCTTGGGGGTCATCCTGAAACTGCCTCAGCGTTGGCACAGGGCCCAGCTCTTAGGGGACCTGCTGGGGTCTCGTAACTGTAATCATAATGCAGGTTTGGGAGTCGGGCAGGCCTGAGGACTGTGGAGGGGCTCCTGGCTGCTGCCCTCTGGGACAGGACACTGGGCCATGGAACCGGCTCCCAGGCCCCCAGGGCGGAGGCACAAACTGGGGCTGCAGCTGCCGGGCTCACCTGGAGCGGGTCCCATGGGAACCACGTGCCCCCGCATCGCCGGGCCCCTGGCACTTTCCTGAGACGGTACAGCCAGGCACCGTGTGCTCAGCAGGCAGGGGTGGGGCCGGACACGTCCTCTGGCCTGGTTGCCCAGCTGTGCAGTGCCAAGTGGTTGGTGCAGTGAGGACACAGCCCTGTGGCTTTGTACCCAGGCTGGGAGCCGAGGAAGGAGCACCTGACCCTGTGACTGTGGACAAGGCATTCCCCTCTCCCAGGAGCCCCGCGAGCTTGGCTGCACGTGCCGCTGCCTGTCAGAGACCACCCTGGCTGGGAGGTGTGAGGGTGGACAGAACACGTCAGAACTGGTGTGATGGGGCCACACTTAGCTGGTCCCGGGGCACCTGCAGCCTTTTGCCCACACCAGCCTGTGGGCGTCTCGGGGCTGGTGCACGCTGAGGGTCCGGGTTCTCCGCGGCCCAGGCAAGGACGTCAGAGCTCAGGGAAGCTGCGCAACGAGCCGTCCCGCTCAGTGGGAACCAGAGACCCCGAGGCCAGCTGCTGGCTCTCGGCCCCACTCGGCGGTGGCAGCTGCTCAGGGGCGGCGCCTCCGGCACAGGACCAGACCTGAGGGAGGTCCAGAGGTGACCTTGGAGGCGGATGAGCCTCGGTGGAGAATTAGTGAGGTTAGACGACAGGAAGGGGCCTGAGGGCGGGGCACAGAAGCGTCTGGGAGCTGTCGCATCTCCCGGGTCAGCCCACTCCTCGCAGACTCGGCTGCCAGTACGGCCCCACAGGCGTGTCTCCCTGGAACTTGGTGGTGGGTTCCGAAGCCCAGCTAGAGCGGCACACGGGAGGACGGCTGCAGGGTCGCCGCGCTGGGTGAGGAGCTGCCGAGCTCGTGGGCCGAGAGGCGTGGTGGCTGCCGGCTGGGGCCTGCTCCTGGCAGTTACACGGGCCCGTCATGCACCCCATCCTCGCCACAGCCGCATCGCAGCACACGGTCACGGGACAGCAGTTTGCTCCACGGGAACTCCATGCCTCTGAGCGACGGGGTGCGGAGCCCAGGTGGCAGTTCAGGCACAGGGAGCTGACACTGGGGCCCTTGCCCACCGCCCTCCCCACTGCGTGGCCCGGCCCCAGCAGGCCAAAGCCCAGGAGTTGGGAACCCCTGGGTACCTGGAATAGTGAAGTTTGATCCAACCCCACACCATAGAAGTACTTTCTAGGAGGATTAGAGGTGTAAGCACAGGTCCAGGCAGGGGGTACACTTGGCCCCATGTGGGAACCCCCTGGGCCACCCAGACACTGCAGTTGTCCAGGCCTGTAGTCTCGGCTCCTGCGGAGTCAGGCTGAGAGCCTCGCACCCTCCCTCCTGTCTCTGTCAACTACACCTAAAACAAGGGCAGTACAGGAAAGCGCCACGGGGCGTCTCGGCTCCCTGGGCCTCTGCACAGCCAGACCCCACAGGCACCTGCCAGGTGGCTGCCTGGCCCTGGAGCGCGTGGGCCCCGCGGTCACTCGGAACAACAGCAGAGGGCTTGACGGGATCCACAGGTCCCAGGGAGGGCTGCATGCCACACACGGATGCCGTGGTGCTATTCCAAGTGGCCGTGCAGACCGCAGATGCCCTGCTGTCAGAGAGAACTGGGGGGGGGGGGTCCCAAGCGCCAGCACTAGTGGGTCCTGCAGGCTAGACTGGCCGGCCGGGCCGAGGCGGGCGTTCATGTGGGAAGGCCTGAAGGAGGCACTGGTCGTGGGACATCGCTGCTTTGGGGCGTGCTGCTACGTTATCTGCAGTCCATGGTAAATGCTGCACTGTGTCTTTTATTTTTTTATTTTATTTTTTAGAGAGAGATATTTTACTGTAGGGCATGAAGACTCGCTAGAGAGACAGCAAGAAAGCGCCGCCCCGGGGGGATGGCCTCACGGCAGTCCCTCCCCATGCTGCTCTCGGAATCTGGGCACACACACACCCAGTGTGAGTTTAAGCCACCAGGTCCGGGGCTCAAACTGCGGTCAGCTATGTGGGAGTCCAGTGACATCATCATTATGCCATCTGCTGGCCCCTGGACTCACTCTCTCTCTTTTAGATCAAGCAGCTGAGAGGCCAGCTCCCTTTTTTTTTTTTTTTTTTTTAGAGAGATTTTCACTATAGGGCGCGTGCGCTCGCCAGACAGACAGAGAGAGACATAGAGACAGAAAGCGAGAAATCGCCCCCCGGGGGGATGGTCACGCCGCAGTCCCTTCTCCTCCATTCTCCTCTCGGGATCTTGGGCACACACGCACACGCACCCGGCGTGAGTTTTAAGCCACCAGGTCCGGGACGTGAACCGCGGTCGACTACGTGGGAGTCCAGCGACATAGCCATTACGCTAACTGCTGGTTCCCAAGGCCAGCTCCCTTTTTGTGAGAAGGGAACTGAGTGGAAATGAGTCATTCTGTCACGTCATCCGTGTTGGGGAAGGGATTCCCAGCACACCCTGCGTGGTGGGGAGAGCTGGCCCAGCGGGAGCAGCACAACTGCCCCCGGCGCTGGAAGGTTGCTTCTTCCTCCACTGTGGGGGCCTTGCACCCTTCCCCCTTTCATCACCTTTCGCCACGGTCATGCCCTGGCTGGCTAGGGGAGCCCGCAAGCCCAGCTCTAGGCCCACGTCCATCCGGGTCACACTCACTGCCACGGCGCTCGGAGCGTGGCCCACTCGCTCTGGAGGGCCCTTTGCACACACTCACAGTGCACTCTCTCCATAGGTGCCCAGTTGGGCGGAGCAGAGCCAGGCAGGTGAGCTGGCTTTCGCTCCCAGCAGGACCAAGCAAGGCTCGGTCAGGCCGCTCACGCAGCACACGCACTGGGCCCGGGGTCCCAGCCCCGAGGGTCTGCCCGGGGCCCCGCCCACAGCCCCTGCGTGTGCCCAGCCCTTCCGTGCCACTGGGGCTCGCTGGCTCACTGCAGCCTTCTCTTTAACGAGGACCTGCTCTGTCGGTTTCAGTCACCAACTGACCTTGTCATTCCTTTCCCTGTCTCTGCTTCGCTGGACACGGCCCAGGGGAGTTCTCAGGTGTGTATCCGTCGTGCTCGTCTGTGGCCCCTCCCCCCAGCTACCCCCTCCGTGGACTCCGCAGACCGCCCTGTCCCAGCCCAACCCGGCTGCCCCAGGCCGCCTGAGCACTGAGGTGCCTGCGCTCCGGCTGGGAGCCGCGGCCACTCAGCCCTCAGGTGCTGCAGTCACCACCGACCCTGACCCGCTGTCTGACCTGCCAGCCCCACCTGAGGAGTCCCCCAGGCCACTCCCGCAGGTTCTGCAAAGCTGTGATGGATCAAGGGCCCTGTGAGCCCCTGGCTGGCTCAGCCCAAGGGTGGTCTCGCGTAAGAGTGGGCTGGCCAAGCACCTGCCCCCTGCCTTGTAGCTGGAGCTCCGGGGCCCCTTGCCTGTCCAGGTGCAGCCCCCCCTGAGCCCAAGGCACCTGCACCCCGGCGTGGCTCTCAGAACTTGTGGGGCTTCTTCCACCCTCAGCACCCCAGCTCCGTGGGCTGACTCCAACAGCACCCACAAACCACTTTGGCCTGGCAGTCTTCCGTGCAACTCCAAGGGCACCCTTTCCAGAAAGAGCAGCTGGCTCCATCCCTTCCCTGCCCCCTCGCCCAGGGACATGCAGCCCTGCGGTCTCACCCTCCTCCGCTACCTGCTGGGGCTTAACTGCTTCTTTTCTCCCCTCCCCTTCCTCCGCCTGCTGCCCACCTCCCTGGGACTGGGACGCTCCCATAGTACGCGATGATTTTTTTGGTAAGGCCAAGACCCTGTCCCGTGCCTGCTCCCTCCCGGCTTCCCTCCTCTGCCTGTCTCGTGCACCCATTTGCTCCCTTCTGCGTGGTGGGAGGCAGGGGCTCAGCCTTCAGAGTAGCGGCAGTCCTGGGGGCCTTGGCGGGCTGTGGGAGGCGGTGCCCTCTCTGGGGACAGGCCTCTGATAGCTCGAGGGGCCCCTGGCCTCGCTGAGCTCTGGCTGACCCTGCTGGGCTGCTCCGGCCTGGCCTGGCTGAGCAGGCCACCTGCTGCATCCCAGGCGGAAGTCTGGGCAGAGGCGGCGGGCAAGACCCAGAGCCCACGCACACGTGTGTTTCACGACAGCATAGACTGGGGCTGTTATCAAGGGCCAGCTTTGGTCCTTGGGGTTTTGTGACATGCCTGCTGGGTCTGTGGGGCCTAGTGGCCAAGGAACCGAGTCTGCTCCGTAGGAAGGCGGGCACCCAGGAGCCCTGTCCTTCTCAGGCCCTCATGTCCCACCTCCTGCTGACCCCCACCACATGGTCCTTCCAGGCCTGCTCCTAGCCCCAGGGGAGGGCCACGCCTGCCATGGAATCATCCCATCTCAGCCAGGGTTTCCTGCCAGCGCTGTACTGTCGTGTCTGTCCCAATACTCAGGCTCCAGAACCAGTCAGGGGGTGGTGGTTCTGGAGGGTGTCTGCTTCATGATGGGTCTGGGGGGACCCGGGGCCAGGATGGGCTCGCTCATCGCGGCATCCCAGGGCCTGTGGAGCACCGCCTCGTGGGGAGGCTGGAGCCAGGGCCCAGGGCTGCTGCCATGGGGCCCCGCGAACAGGGCTGGCCGGAGAGCCTGCAGCTCGGGCGTCAGCCCACATCCCCACACCGGCCCTGCCGAGACAGGCATGGCAGGGTCGCCCGGTGCAGGACACTAACACCCAGGCCTTTCATTTCAGGAATGGGCAAAGAAGTGGGCAACCTGCTGCTGGAGAACTCCCAGCTTCTGGAGACCAAGTAAGCGGCCTGGGCCGTGGGGACTCGAGCGCCCTCCAGGGCCGATGGTGGCTGTGACGTGACAGCAGGGGCAGCGGGAGCGGGGTCTTCCTTAGAAAGCCTGTCGAGCACCCATTCATGGGCGACTGGGCCCTGTGGTCACAGCCACCTCTTGGCCAGGGCGTGGCAGGCCCTCAGACAAGAGCGAGAGCCCCACGGCGTAGACACGGGCTCGCAGGAAGCTTCGTGTGTCTGCCTTTTCAAGAAACGCCTTGAACGTGGTGAAGAATGACCTCATCGCCAAGGTCGACCAGCTGTCAGGGGAGCAGGAGGTGCTGAGGGGGGAGCTGGAAGCCGCCAAGCAGGCCAAAGTCAAGCTGGAGAGCCGGGTCAGAGAGCTGGAGGAGGAGCTGAGACGGTGAGGGCCGCGGGCCCAGTGCTGCCGCTCCGTCCTTCCCTGAGTGGCCGTGTGCACCTGCCCTGCTCCCCAGCTCTGCCCAGCCCGGCCCGTGTGCCCAGGGAGAGGGGTGCTGGGACCTCGTGGGACCCCCCGCGTGTGCTGGTCCTGCCCGGGTGTCCCAGTGGCCATGCGGCCTGGCTGCAGCTCTTACTCTTTCCACTTTGAGGGGGAGTGAGGGCCTCAGGCTGCCCTGGCAGCCCTGATACCACGGCCCTCTGCTCCCCAGCCCTTTGGTCGGCTTGGCGGTGTTGCCACAGCTGCCGCCCTTCTCGGGCAGCAAAGGGCAGTGTGAGACGCCCGAGGCCACCTCTGCTGCGACCCACAGGCACCAGTGCTGTTCCTTGGCGGGAGCCGTCAGGATGGGTGTCTGGGCTTCGGGGCACACGTGAGCTCTCTCCTATGGGGAGTCTGGCCCGAGCAGGCCCTCACCTGCCCGCTTCCTCCCTGGTCCTGCAGAGCGAAGTCAGAGGTCATCGTTGCCCGCCGTGACCCCAAAGAAGAGGTGGAGGATGTAAGCAGCTACCTCTGTACAGAACTGGTATATCCCACTGTTAACCCCGGGCAGGGGTGGCGCGGGCGGTTCCCAGGGACTGGCTGGCTCAGGGCTCTGAACCCTCCTCAGCCCTCCTATGCAACGTCTGAGCTTGGCAACTTGCCTCTTGGGGACCCCTCGGGGAATCTGTTAGGGGATCCCAGCCTCCCAGTGACACTGGGTCCTCCTGGACTAGGTGTCCCCAGCCGTGCAGCCCAGCCAGCACCCTGCACCCTCCAGGTTGCAAAGCAAGGCCGCAGGGTGGCAGCTGTGCACTGTGCCCTCCGCAGGCGTGCCACCCACTCCCCGGCGTGCTGAGCAGAGCCCTCCGGGCCTGGCCCTTGTCGGCCTGCCCACCCCAGAGCCTCCCCTCCTGGGGCAGAGGCCCAGGTGCACCACTGCCTGCTTTGGAGGGCCAGCCAGGCTCCTGGGGTCACACCGGCCTGTGTCCGACTCTAGTTGGTGACCTGAGCAGGCTGTGAGGGTGAAGTGGGTCGTGTCACTCTCGGTTCTGCCCATCCCGTGTAGCCCACGCTCAGATTCGGGGGACTGGAGGTGATCATGGTGCGGCCCCAGCCCCGTACTGACTAGGAAGGAGGTGCCGTCCTGGTCTCAGCCTCTGGGCTCCAGGCCTGGGCTGTGCACCTGGGCACCTGGAGCAGCCCAGCGGTGAGCTGGGGGCACGCCTGGCCGCCGGCCTGCCCGCTAGTCGGTTGGCCTGGTTTTCCATTGCAGCGGGCCTAACCCCTCCCGCCTCACTGAGCCTGTCCGGCCTGAGCTCTGCCTGAAGCACTCAGTATTGCCCAGCGGATGACTTTCTGAAACTGGCCCTCCCCTGCCTCAGGCCACGCCTCATCCTGTGGCAGGGCCCCAGGCCTCGCG